TCTTCTTTATATGGAGCTTATGATCTTATGAAAAATACATTTCGCATTCTGTTTCAATAGCAAACCCTAGCAGAACAAATACTCAATCCATTTGTGACTTTCTATTTCTCAGCTCAAAAGCCAGCAAGAAATAAATATCTTTGGTGAAACGGAGAGCGCATTTTTGTAGCAAAGAGAAAGAGCTGTCTAGCTATTCACAGCATTTCGTCATAATTATGAAAAAATGCATGAAAATAAGCGTCAGAATCATAACGCAATTTGTGTGAAAGTCCAATATTTGGGTTAGCAGCCGGCTACTCTCCATTCTAGGGCAATTTTGCGAGCCAAAGCGTTGGCATAGAGTGCTAGACCGTTCCTCATCTATCTGCAGAGTTTAAGTTTATTTTGCTTGAGAATATTTCCCATATAAAACTAACACCCATTTTCCCTCCATTTTCATATGCGGTTCTGTTCTTCTGTTTCATAGCTTTTTTCGAAGAGTAGGGAGAATTTTTGCTAGAGATACCAACAATAAGCCTTGGTCGAGCTCAGTGGGACCATGTGCTAGGACTACTTCATGACAAATTCAGCTGTGTTCACAGAGGGACAGGACAATTACCCTATCCGAGTTTTTTGCCAATAATGGAGCAGCTCATGTGCAGATTGATGCTAACAGCTTACTAAACCACCTGCCCCACTGTTCCTAAAAACTGCTCGAGGACACCAAGTAGGTCAATCTGTCCTCTTCTGGATTTTACCATGTCTCACTGCAGCTCTAATAAAACTACTCCTCTGATTGAAAAGAATAGAGTCCGTGCAGCTGAAAAAACCGTGAGTCACTTACTATCAACTCAATTTCTAACAACTACTCTATGCAAGAAAACTACCAGTTACCTATGTGTAAATAATGTAAACAAATAGAAAAAGGTACAAAACAATGAGTATGCTGATATATTCTATCGTTACTGCAAGAGATGTCTTTGCTCCGACACAGCATTTTTTAGTTTAATCTTTGATCTCATTACTTAATCTACAATTGCGTACCGAAGCTAAGGAGCGGTATAGTCAAGATTTCCTAAGAGGTATTTGCTGGCTCTTATTTTTTCCACAAATATAAAATTTCTAGGGAAATAATCCAATTTCTCCCATTCTAATTCATGATACGCCACGACATTTTCCATTCACGGCATAGACACGGTACCAAAGTCGATATATATCGAACTAGTCCAAACTGAACAAAGTCTATTCCAGCTATGAGAAAAAAAATGATCTTCAACCAACTTTCAATGCCAGTCAGTAAATAGCTTTCATACGACAATTTGTTCACTTTTTGATGTTCACATCTCGTTCATTTGACACTACTGGAGCCAAGAAATTCCAACTGTATGCAGACATCTGGCTCGACCTCTCCTCACGTCAAAACAAAAAGTAACGGGCATTCAGAAGAAAACAAAACAACAGTGCTATGTCAGAGACTCATCGATGAGAAAGGGGTTTTGAAAAATGTTAACAACAGGGACAAAAGTCCAACTTCCACTCAAATAGAAGACCAAGTAGATGGTCACTACAGAGAGAGGAGCAGATATGTGGGTTCAGCCTACTTCTAGTATATTGCTCTTTAGTCGGAATTTTCAACTGAGATATGGAACAGAAATTTGTTTCATCTTGGGATTTTTTCTAACGAAAATTCCTATCAAGCTCAAACAACGCAGATGGGGTTTGATACGCCAGCAGCCACAACTCTATCAGCTCATATCCAGCTCTTTATCGTAGAACTTCCTAAGACTCAATATATAT